CTGATTGTTTCCGTGGCCCTGCTTCAGCCGGCAGATAGAGAAGGAACTCAGACAATATCAGACTGGCCTACCTTGTGGATGCTGTTTTAATCAGTAGGGTTAGTGGTGATACAAACGAAGCCGCCTCATCAAGATTCTGCTACACTGTCTTGTCTAATTGTTCTCTCTGAAAGTCCTGAATGTGCGATGATCTTGAATGTGTCCTTGATTATATCCCGTGTGCTTTAGTTCCCTAATCCAACTGCTCCCACATATCCACTGGTACCGATGTTGAGGTGCGAGATGTAGGCCAAAGATGTTTTCTTGTCGGAATGTCCGAATGTCAGAAATTGTCAGAAATTGTCAGGTAAAAAAACTGGTTTGTCCTCTATCCGCTGACTGCCTTCAGTCCTCTTGAGTATTCCTTATGCACTGCCTCTTCTCGTGCCCTGTGCACTGTGTTTCTGCTTGTGAATTCTTCCTCTCTGGAAGCCTGGTTTCTTCCTCTCTGGAAGCCTGATTTCTTTTCTGTCTCTCTGCCCCAGCCGGACGGGGCTCCCCTCCCTGGAGTTCAGGGGGGTAGGGATTTTGGCGGGAATCTAATCTATCACATATGTACTAAGCTAGAGGCGGCAAATTCGAAATTGGAAGTTGGCACTTACACTGGCCCCCAAATTGTCCGTTGGGCAATTTTTACCTTACATATTACGAGCCAACTTCCTTATAACATTGGTAACTTAATAACTCATTGTTAGTAGAAATAGCATGCAATGGTTTCCTACTTTAACTTCCAGCTTACAGCAGTACACATAGTTTGTCGATTGGTCTCTCGAGGACGTTGTTTTGCGTCTTTACTTTTACTCTACGCACTAGTCCGTCGCTGTGGTGAGTCACTTCCAGCACCCTGCCTAACGGCCAGCAACTTCGCGGTGAGGTTTCATCTTTCAGGAGAACTATATCTCCCACGGCAAGGTTTTGCCTTTGTTTGCCCCATTTCTGCCGCTCCTGTAGTGACGTGAGATACTCCTTCGACCATCGTTTCCAGAATAAGTCGGCAAGATATTGCACCTGCTTCCATCTGCGTCTGGCATACAGGTCGTTCTTGCTGGTTAGGTTTGGCGGCAGCGAAGTCTTCATTTTCATAGTCAGAAGACGGTTGGGCGTCAACGCTTCCAGGTCATCAACTTCATTGTTAACCGCCGTTATTGGTCTTCCGTTTACTATGCTTTCAGCTTCGCACAGCAAAGTGTGTAATCCTTCGTCATCTAGAGGATTCTTCTTCATGATCGCACTCAGCACCTGTCTTATTGTGCGTATCTGTCGCTCCCAAACGCCGCCGAAATGCGATCCTTTAGGTGGGCTGAACTTCCAGTCCACTTCCTTCTGCAGTAAGGTGTCCTTAATCTTGTCTTGGTTCCACCTTGCTATCTCCTTCTTTAGCTCGGCCTTTGCCCCCACGAGGTTGGTTCCGTTATCTGACCATATTTGTTTGACTTGTCCTCGTCGAGCTATAAATCTTCTAAGGGCATCGATGCAGGAGTCTGTGTCCAGCGAGTCCGCCTTCTCGATATGCACTGCCCGTGTTGACATGCATGTGAACACCACTCCATACCGTTTAACGATGCTTCTTCCACGCTTGGTTTCTATTGGACCAAAGTAATCCACACCCACTCTCGTGAAGGGTGGCTCATCAGGAATGACGCGGTGTTATGGCAGATCAGCCATCTTCTGTTCTCCCGTTTTGCCGTGATGACGTCGACAGGTAACGCACCTGCTGATTATCTTTCTGATCAGCGTGCTACTCTGTGGTATCCAATAGCGCTCTCGCACCTTGGCCGTCACGTAGTTTCTCCCCATGTGGCCTACTTCCTCGTGTATACTCCGTATAATCAGCAGCTTTACTGCTGACTCCTTAGGGAGTATTATGGGGTGCTTCTCTTCTTCTGACAGAGACGACATGTCAAGTCTCCCGCCCACTCTCAGCAGACCGTCTTCTCCTAATGTTGGGTTTAGCTTGTAGACGCTGCTGGTAGATGCTACTCCTGCATCCTTCGACCTCTCTAACGATACTATCTCCTGATGGTAGTATCTGTGCTGCACGTGTTTGAAAATAGCTCCTTCAGCTTGTTTGAGATCGTGCATTGTCAATCCGACTTCAGTGGCCTTGTTCTTCTGCCTGAGGGCTTGCTTTACCTTGATGATCCAGGCCACTGCTTTCTTGAGACGGTGCCAACTTGAATAATGCGCTATTAGCGCATCCATAGGGCTCTTCTGAGCTTCCTCCACTCCAATGGCGTTCACCTTAACTTCAGGGTCCCCCTGTGGCGGCTGCCGAAGACCCTCTGGCATCTGTGGCCATTCGCTGGGTGAGCACCACAGGAAGGGTGGGCCATTTACCCACCTGTCGTTTTCCACGAACTTCTGGATCGTCTGTCCCCTCGATGCATCGTCTGCAGGATTCTGTTGTGATTCAACATAACGCCATTGTTTTGGATCGCTGGCGTTTCTTATTGCTGTTAGCCGGTTGGCTACAAAGGTGTGATACCTTGTTCTCTCGTTGTTGATATAGCGTAGCACTGTTGTGCTGTCAGTCCAGAAAAACGTCTCGTCGACGTTGACGTCCAACTCCCTTTGGAGCGTAGAGTTTACACGGACAGCAATTTCTGCTGCTTTAAGCTCCAATCTTGGAATTGTGTGAGCCTTCAATGGTGCAACTCGGGCCTTGCCCATTAACAAAGAACAGTGTACTCTGCCTTCTTGATTTTCTATACGTATAATGTACGAAGCGGTTCCGTATCCTACTTCACTCGCGTCCGCGAAGTGGTGTAGCTGTACTGACGTAGGGGTTCCAAATCCAGCGGGTTTGACACATCTGC